GGAGGGATGGTCGCCAATCTCCGGGCACCTAGGTAGGACCTCACTGGGGCACCCGGTACAATAGTTGGTGGAGCCCACCCCTCTGCGGCCGCCCACACCATCTAAAGGTCATCATGACCGACACGTGATCACTAGCGACGCCCCATCCATTGGACTTCGCGTCTGACGGGCGAGAAGGGTCTAACATGCCCCTTTGACTATTGCCAAGCCTAAGGACGGTCGGATTCGACGGAATAGTTGGAAGCATGGTGTTGCATCGCTACAGGGCGGTGCTACCAACATTTGCTCATTACGCAGGGCCTAGGCTAATAGGACCCGGGCAAATCGCGTTGGGGGATCCAACATGACTCCAGGCATGTCACGCATGCTGAGAAGAAGGCATTGTGGTTGCCCGCTTAATATATATAAGGGAGGAACCGGATCCAAGAGGGAGGGGAGAAAAAGGCTTGTAACACATTCATACACACATCTAAGAAAGAACACACGCATGACGTAGGGTATTGCGCCTTCTCGGTGGCCTAAACCTGGATAAACAAAGCCTCCATATCTGTAGTGATCTCAAGCGTTTCACCCCTAGCCGAATTACTAAAAGGGGATCACGCGATCTCCAATATCGACGCTCACCCGTCGATACTGGTTGTGACTACTGATGGATTTGGAGAGCTAAGGTACCTTTGAAAATTCAAATATTTCTTTGGCAGCTATTCCAAGACATTGTTTTAACTAGGTACGTAATGAAAGGAAGGAATTGGCCTAGTAATCCAAAATGTTAGTTCTGTGGGAGAGAAATCTCACAAGAGCTATTCTTTCTATGCCAAGTTGCAAGAGTGATGTGGCGTACTATGGGCTCGGTTTTTGGGACCAATTTATGGCCAAACAGTATTTGACAGTTCTTTGCTTGGTGCTATACTTTCTTTCCTGATGGGGAAAAGTTTTACACAGTCAATTATTTTGCGGCCATTTGCTAAGTTTTACACTGTCGATTTAGCGGGCATTTGCTGGAGCATTTAGAATTGCAGCAAAAGAGCAACCTTAGAATTCAACTTACCTCGGTCTCTGCTTGAAATTGCTTTTGCATCTTGTGCTACTCTGATGTCTTGGATAGGTTTAGAGAAGGCTGGTGACTCAAACTCGTTGAGATATGGAGGTACTCTTCTGAGGAGTAATGCTACAATTATGTTGAGGATTTGTGCGGTGATCCATGAGGGCATTGAGGCTAATCAAGGGTACTTCTGCACGTGGATTTGATTGAAGGCTTTTGTTATGTTGAGCGACTGATGTTGTCTTTGGTTGTGTTTGCTGGACTTGTGATACTTGTTATATCTCTGGTAGGATAGTTTCTGCTTTGCTATCAAGTTTCGCCCTATGATGCATGTGTTGATTGCATGTATAGTGGGTTTCCTAATAGTGCTTTGAACTCGCTTTTCCCCCTTCCCCTTTCCCATTTCATGTATCTCTTGCTGGTTTTGGACAAGTTGTATTTCTATTATGCTTTATAATGAAAAGAGGTTTATCCTTGGTTCAGAAAATATATACATATATGACCGCCATTGAACTGGGCTAAAATGTGAAATCAGAGAGCTACAATGTGAATATCTTTTAATTCCAATTATTATCTTGTGAAAAATACGGAGTATGGCATCGTTCATATGCATGATGGGCTTGATCGATGACGAGAAATACCCTGACGTTACCTAGGGCGGCCATTCTTGACAGTTGAAACCGAATACTGACCCTCGATCGATGATCCCCATATAAAGCACATGTACGTACAATACGTACATATGACAACCCACAGACGAGTACACCGTAGCGAATACTTTTCTTCGGCTCTCACACGCGCCTCACGAATCATGATTTCTATAGTTGGTAGCTGACCACCAACCCCCAAATGAACGAAGCTGCTGGCCTAAGTTCGTAGGTACGACCCGGCAAACGGCTGGTTATGAGCATGACAGAGAGCTTAATCTCCGTTAAACAAATGAGCTCTCGCACGCATGTAGTACTACTGTGAATCATGTGCAACGCTTAAATCGAGGTGCCAAGTCTGGCCGTAGCAAATAAAGAAAGTTTCCCACCAACTCTGGCGCCAAAGCGAGCGACGACCGTCCTGTCGATGCGGGCCACACGGTTTTCCAACCGTCTTGAACCACTCCAGCTCTCTCTTTCGCTGCCTCTATAAGTACAGCCAGGATGCGCAGTACCCTATCTCATCTCATATCCAGCAGCTGCCTAGCTCTACTTACTACCTGCGCAGTGTTGTGTGGTACTGTAGTAAGTAGCAGGGAAGAACCGTTCCGAGTACACAGCGTACTTTTGGACCTGTGGATACCTTGCTAGGCACCTGCTGCTCGCAACATCCCCGGATACGTCGTGTCAATCCGGAAGTAAGCCGAGAGGAAGAGAGAGATGCCGATCGAGGCGGCAGACAACGTACCGGCCGAGCTTCCCGGCCACGGCCGGACGGTGTGCGTCACCGGCGCCGGCGGTTTCATCGCCTCGTGGCTCGTCAAGCGCCTCCTCCAGAAGGGTTACACCGTGCGAGGCACCGTTCGCAACCCAGGTACGTGTGGCATCGCATACTAGATCAGTACGTGAGTTCATCATGCAAGACACTCGTCTTATTACCTGCTAACACGATCGTTCGCATGACTTGTGGCAGTTGATCCGAAGAATGATCACCTCAGAGCCTTCGATGGCGCCGCCGACCGCCTCATCCTCCTCCGCGCCGACCTTATGGAGCCCGAAACCCTCGTCGAGGCGTTCACGGGCTGCGAGGGCATCTTCCACGCCGCTTCCCCCGTCACCGACGACCCTGTACGTACCATTGATGCCACACGATCGATTGCTAACCTGCATGGAAACTAAACTCCCGATCGATGGCTACCTGCAGGAGAAGATGATCGAGCCGGCGATCCGAGGGACCAAGTACGTGATCACGGCAGCCGCGGACATGGGCATCAAGCGTGTGGTGTTCACGTCCACCATCGGCACGGTGTACATGAACCCTCACAGGGACGCCAGCAAGCCCGTCGACGACACCTGCTGGAGCGACCTTGAATACTGCAAAAAGACAGCGGTACGTAGTAATAATTGTTTTGTTTTGTTCATGCATGGGACACAATAATCAATTTCTACTATCCTTTCAAACTCAGAAACCGGCCGGGGAATATATGCATGCTTACTGCCAATGATTTGCTAGAACGTACGCTTAATTAATTTTTGATGGTACGCAAATGTCGAGCTTCACCAAACGTGGATGCAAAGCTGGAATACTTATAGAAAAGGCGACGTTGATTTCTTACCTACTGAGGCGTATGAGGTGTTGTTCCTTGGCCAGTGCGTCAAGCACTGCACCAGCTGCAAGACCATTCTAGCTTGCGGCCATTTTTAACCACTCCAAACACCTTTTGCTAGCTCTACCTACTGCCGCACATATACTCGGTTGGGATCCTATCCTTTGCGCTCCTTTTGTTGTTGAGACCAAAATCGGCTAGAATAAAATATATGTAGCTAGCTCGGCAGTTGGGGACACGGTCATCCACTTTTTGAGTGGAAGTTCATCATTTCTTTGAAGAAAGATAAGAAGAAGAATCATCTTCTTTTTTCAATATTTAAATCATAGCATGCATGATGATATCCATGTCACGCGCGTGCAGAACTGGTACTGCTACGCGAAGACGGTGGCCGAGCAGGACGCGCTGGAGACGGCCCGGCAGCGCGGCATCGAGCTGATCGTGGTGAACCCGGTGCTGGTGCTGGGCCCGCTGCTGCAACCTACGGTGAACGCGAGCACGGAGCACGTGATGAAGTACCTGACGGGGTCGGCCAAGACGTACGTGAACGCGGCGCAGGCGTACGTGCACGTCAAGGACGTGGCCGAGGCGCACGTCCGCGTCTACGAGGCGCCCGGCGCGCACGGCCGCTACATCTGCGCCGAGGGCACCACGCTCCACCGCGGCGACCTCTGCCGCGTCCTCGGCAAGCTATTCCCTGAGTACCCCGTACCCACCAAGTACGTCCGTCGCATGCAGACTGGAAGAATCACCTCACCGCTGGTTCTACCCAGTATATTTTTGGTTGGTTATTCGACGATTAACATGTTCGTTTGGTGTGTGTATAGGTGCAAGGACGAGGTGAACCCACCGGTGAAAGGGTACAAATTCACCAACCAGAGGCTCAAGGATCTGGGCATGGAGTTCGTGCCGGTGCTGCAGAGTATATACGAGACGGTGAAGAGCCTCCAGGAGAAAGGGATGCTGCCGGTGCTACCGCCAGGCGACGACATCCCAGACAACCTGCATGAGCAGCTCATGATGAAGCCCGCCCAGTTGCTACGTAATTAATTATACTCTACATTTGATACAGATATGCTGTCGGCTAGTTAATTCTATGGGACATGTCTGTCCATTCGATCGGTCTTATATATGCGTACACCGGTACACGTATGCACTTTTAATTGGTGCATGCATGCGTGCGTGAGTGGGTGGGTTGGTTGGCGATCACATACATGGATCAGTGCTGTATGACGCACAGACACACACACAATGTTATATGCATAGTGATATAAATCCACGGACTACAATAACCAGGCAATGTGCAACTTTGGATTATATAGATTAGCAAACATACCCGTGCATTGCAACTGGCAAAAAACACAATGCATTCAAATGTGGTCTATCTCAAAGGTGATGATCTCAGCCATCACACGTACATCCACAACTGAACCATGCGTCGCAAGTGAATGTCCAACAGTTTTAAAAGTAATCTCGTCGAGCTGGAATGATTACTGCCCTTCCCAAGCTACGGCCTACACCTAGTCCATCACTCACTCATACCCGCACTCACTTTTAAGTTGTATATTTGTTTGTCAAAATGCATCAACATTGTTTTAAAACACATAAACACTTTCTAAATCACATGGACTATTTATTTTAAAGAGCATGAATACTTTTAAAATTACAAACATTTTTAGCGCGTGAACACATAGAATTGCATGAAATGTTTTTAAGAAAAGGGTGAACTATTTAAAATTATATGAACATTATTTTAATATGTGAATACTTCTCTTAAAACAACACATATAGTCTAAAATGCACATACGGTTTAGAAAAATACGTAATATTTTTCAAAAGGCACCAACACGTTTTGAATAACACGAAAAATTATATTTCAGGAAAACACGTTCTAATAGGATTGGGAGTGTAGCAACTGATCAGGTGCTAAAAAATATTATTCCTAAGTTATTTTCTAGCCATGCATTCCTTCTTTTCAATGGGCACAGCGGAGTTTATCATTTGTTTATTTTTTAGTTCCTTTCCTTCCTGAGGCATTTATTCCTTCTTTTAATTCTATCTTTTTAATACCTTTCCCTCCCAAGGTATGTATTCCTTCTTTTCATTGGCACAACGGAGTTTATCCTTCTTTTAATTTCATTTTCTTCCAGAAGCATTTATTCCTTCTTCCAATTTCTTTTCCTCCCTAAGGCACACCGGAGTGTCCTTCTTTTAGTTTATTTGATTCTTGAGGCGGCTTATTAATTTGAAATCATAAATGTATATAAATTGATGGGATGAGGTGTAAGAAAGCGATATGGAACTATTTAATAGTTGAATGACAAACGAAAAAAACTATGTGGTAATAGGCAAGCCCATAAGTGTGACGTTGTGGAAGTGGAAGACAGTCTGCTCGCGATTACCTGCCGCACAGGGGTCAAGCGAGCAAACGTGTTATGGGCCGACCAATTTGTACAACTCAAACATACTGGACCGGTTTTTGAAACCTTTCAGAGTCTCCTGGCCGGTTTTTGAAACTTTTCAGAGTTTCCTGGCCGGTTTTGGGAATCTTCTAGAAGGTTCTAGAACCTGTTTTTTTATGTTTTCTTCTACTAGGTTTTCCGGTTTTTTCATTTTCTGTTTCTTTTCTATTTGTATGCTTTTTGAAAATTTTGTAAAATTCAAAAAATGTTTCTGTTTTCATATTTTGTTCACTAACTAAAAAAATGTTTGCACTTATAAAAAAATGTTCATGCTTTTATATCTTCAAAACTTCAAAAAAAAGTTCCATTTTTGATTTTTTGTTAACAAATTCAATTAATGTAACATGTTTCAGATTTTAAAAAATGTTCTTCCAAAAATTGTTCAAAATTTCAGAAACAATTCTCGTTTTTAAAATTTGTTCACATATTCAAAAAAATATTCATGTCTACAAAAATATATTCAGAAATTGAAATAAATGTTCTGATGCGGAGCATCCTATACACTACAACTACTCCCCAAAGCCCAAGAGGACATACGACAAGAGCTCGAGCATATGCCATTGGACATAAGGTGAACCCGCTCCTAAATGCTTCCCCTTTCCATTCACGCAAACACATGGTTGCTATCTAATGCAAAGACACTACATGTGCTCGGGAACCGAGGAGACAACCATGAAGGAGCTCGAAGCATATGACAAGTCCACATAGAAGCGGAGTGTGAAGTGCGTCAAGTGGAGTCGCCGCAGAGCTACAACGGCCGGACATCCGGTAGGAACCTGGACATCCGGCGCTAGCAAGCAGAGGAAGACCAGAGAGAAACGGACGCCAAGCGACTCTACATGGGCTGGACATCCGGACGACCCCCGGACATCCGATGCCCGGTGAACATCCGGACATCCGGTGCCAGCCCGCATATCCGACCCCTACAATCCAGAGAAGGAAAGAATCGGTCTGCCTCCAGGCCGTACATTCGATGCCCCAAGTCGGGCCAAACATCCAGCGCCTCCGTGCAGCTGTGGGCCAAGAGCCATGTAACCAACCCTCCCTGACCCCTTCGTCCTAGCACTACAAATACACCTCCTCCTCCCCATTTCTAAGGTTAGCAAAGTATATGAGATCATTAGAGGGAGTTTTGCTCATCTACCCTTCTCCTTGGAGAATCAAGACCTCCTGCTGGAGAAGATCCCTCTAGTGGATATCAAGGCCTCCTAAGGGAGAAGGATCCCCACCATAGAATCATCAAGACCTCAACTCCTTCAAGGATTGGGATGGACTAGTTCCTCTTTTACCTTCTTGTGTTGAATTTGGACCTCTGTATCGCTCTATGTGTATGTGGATTTAGCATATGTGTGATTGTATCTTGTCTATTTGAGTGTTCATCTTGTGTTCTTCTCTTGAATTGATCCCTTTTCCCCCTCCAAGTGTGAAAAACTCATGAACTAGGGTTCCACCCTACATCATCTGGGATCAGAGCTAGGTTGATTCACACCTTGGAGTTCCTCCCCTCCACTTTCTAGCCCCAGTTTTGTGTGTTTTGTCCAATTCCAAAAATCCCCACAAAAATAGCCATACCAATTTTTTTTTGTAATTTGTTGGTTTGATGATGTTTTGTTGATTTTGATCCATGGATTCGAAGTGTTGCAGGTGGATCTAGCTTCTCCACAATTTTCCCCAACTTCCATCCACAAAATCTTCTCAATTTTGACCTTGGAATCATCTATTTCGCCCCCAAATCAAAATTCGAAGTCGAAATCGAGTTCTGGATTTGTCGGGACGGACATCCGGCACCTGGAGACTTAAAACGCGCAAGTTTCTGGACAGAGGGCCCCGGAAATCCGGCCTACCCCCTAGATATCAGGCTCCTGGAGCTTCAGCCTTCCATTTTTCACCGTTTTGTCCATAACTAATTCACCCGGAGTCCAATTTTAACGTGCTTTAGCTCGTTTTGTAACTATTGACATCCACCATCCCACAAACTTCAAAAGATCCTATAATGTACTAAAGCAAGCATAATGGAGTTGGAATCTTTGTTCTTCTGAAATGGTCCAATAATTTGATTTCATCGAGGAAAGCAAAGATGGTTGCATTTACAAGAAAGTAAGAGGGAGCTGAAGGAAATATGCCTAGAGGCAATAATAAAGTTGTTATTTTATATTTCCTTATTCATGATAAATGTTTATTATTCATGCTAGAATTGTATTGACCAGAAACCTAAATACATGTGTGAATACATAAACAAATACCGTGTCCCCATTAAGCCTCTACTAGACTAGCTCGTTGATCAAAGATGGTTCAGGTTTCCTAACCATAGACATGTGTTGTCATTTGATAACGGGATCACATCATTAGGAGAATGATGTGATGGACAAGACCCATCCGTTAGTTGAGCATAATGATCGTTTAGTTTTATTGCTATTGATTTCTTCATGTCAAATACATATTCCTTTGACTATGGGATTATGCAACTCCTGGATAGCGGAGGAATACCTTGTGTGCTATCAAACGTCACAACATAACTGGGTGATCATAAAGATGCTCTACAGGTATATCTGAAGGTGTTTGTTGAGTTGGCATAGATCGAGATTAGGATTTGTCACTCGGAGTATCGAAGAGGTATCTCTGGTCCCTCTCGGTAATACACATCATAAGCTTGCAAGCAAATGACTAAGGAGTTAGTCATGAGGTGATGTATTATGGAACAAGTAAAGAGACTTGTCAGTAACGAGATTAAACTAGGTATGAAGATACCGACGATCGAATCTCGGGCAAGTAAAATACTGATGGACAAAGGGAATTACATATGTTGTCATAACAGTTCGACCGATAAAGATCTTCGTAGAATATGTAGGAGCCAATATGGGCATGCAGGTTCCTCTATTGGTTATTGACCGGACATGTGTCTCGGTCATGTCTACATAGTTCTCGAAACCGTAGGGTTCGCACGCTTAACGTTCGTTGACGATATAGTGTTATATGAGTTATATGTTTTGGTGACCGAATATTGTTCGGAGTCCCAGATCAGATCACGGACATGGCTAGGAGTCGCAAAATGGTTGAGAGGTAAAGATTGATATATAGGACGATGGTATCTAGACAACAGAAGTGTTTCAGGACGTACCGGGAAGGAATCGGGTCACCGGAAGGGGTTTCGGGCACCCCCCCAAGCAAGTTATGGGCCTTATGGGCCAAAGGAGGGGACATAGCAGCCCACAAGGGGGTTGGTGCGCCCCCTACCTTGTTTGGCCAGCCCTAGGGAAGGAAAAGGGGGAGGGCTAGCCCCTCCTGCCTTTCCCTCTCATGGGAGAAAGGAAAGGGGGTGGGGGCACCCTCCCCTGCCTTTCCCCGCACTCCAAATAAGGAAAGGGGGGCGCGGCTTGGGAGGGACCCCAAGTAGGATTATTCCTACTTAGGCGCCTCCTTTGGCTGCTCCTCCCTCCCTCCCACCTATATATATGTGGGAGGGGGTGCCTAGCACATAACAAACAATTGCCTAGCCGTGTGCGGCGCCCCCTCCACCGTTTACACCCTCGGTCATATTTTCATAGTGCTTAGGTGAATCCCTATGAAGATCACTTCACCATCACCGTCACCACACCGTCGTGCTGCCAGAACTCATCTACTACCTCGCCATCTTGCTAGTTCAAGAAGGAGGAGGATGTCACCAAGCTGAACGTGTGTAGAACGTGGAGGTGCCGTACGTTTGGTACTTGATTGGTTGGAGCGCGAAGAAGTTTGACTACATCAACCGCGTTGTTAAACGCTTCCACTTATGGTCTACGAGGGCACGCAGACACACTCTCCCCTCTCGTTTCTATGCATCTCCATGGATAGATCGTGTGCGTAGAAATTTTTTGTTTTCCATGCAACGATTCCCAAAAGTGGCATCCGATCCAGGTCTATGCGTAGATGATATGCACGAGTAGAACACAAAGAGTTGTCAGCGTTGATAGTCACACTGCTTACCATCAGCGGTATTGTGCGTTGAAGCGGCTCGAACCGACTGACATGCAACTAGTTTTGCATAAAGGTGGCTGGCGGGTGTCTGTTTCTCCTACTTTAGTTGAATCAAAATTGACTGCGGTCGGTCCTTGAAGAAGGTTAAAACAGCAAACTTGGTGAATCACTGTTGTGTTTTTATGCGTAGGTAAGAGCGGTTCTTGCTAGAAGCCCGTAGCAGACACATAAAAAATGCAACAACAAAGTAGAGGATGTCTAACTTGTTTTTGCAGGGCATGTTTTGATGTGATATGGTCAAGATATGATGTGATATATGTTGATGTATGAGATGATCATGTTTTGTAATATCGACAACCTGCAGGAGCCTTAGGGTTGTCTCTTTATTGCATGAAGTGCAAGCGCCATGTAATTGATTTACTTTATGACTATGCATTAGCGATAGTTGTAGAAGCAATAGTTGGCGCGACGACCTCGACGCAATGATGCTACGATG